ATCAGAGACTACAGGAAAAAGAAACACAAAACATTTTAAAATGTGAAATCCTTCTAGAAATTAAGATGATATATTTTGGATAACTCAATAATTTTGTTATAGAGAAAAGATCACTCCCTAACTGTTCATGATTCTTTTCCATCATCTTTTATTCTTTTCTATATATGGAAACTTTGTGAGATCTGATATACAAACAGTATATTACATATATTCAGTTTGAAATCTGAGACACGTTGTATGGAAACGTCTGTTTGATGCTGAATGTAAATTAAAAAAAAAGAAAAAGAAAATATATCCAGGTTGTAGTTCAGAGATTTCCGACAGTCGCCTGAAGGCAGCACAGTGTTCATTACTCCTGGACGGGTTGTGACCAAGCTGATCATAATAAATGTAATAAACAGTGTTACAGTAGTAGTAAACTGGACCATAATAAAACATTTATAAGAAAACTTTTAGACCAAACGGAGCAGCTTCCGGTGGTGGGGGCGGCCCGGTGCCGTGACTCTCTGCGGGGGGACGGGGCGTCTCACACGGGATGGAGGTTGTCGGTGTCCGGCGGCCGCTCTGCTGATCCCCGGTGAAGATGTCTGTCTCCGGGATGAAGAAGCAGCTCCACAAAGCCAGCCAGGTAACCGGGACCAACCGAGCCGAGCCAAGCCGAACCGAGCTGACCGAGGTTTTATGAAAGCCACGGGGGGAGGCAGGATTAATATCTGGGTGGTTTGTGTTCCTGTGTCGCAGTAAAACCACGGAGGGTTAGGAGTGTCCTCCGTGGTTTTACTGCGACACAGGGCCTGCTGGTACACATCAGTATCGATCCATCACATCACTATTGATCCATCAGTTCAATATCGATCCATCAGATCATAAAAGACTTTAATGAAAAATGACAGTAAGGCATTTATACCCGTGATCTTTGTCCGAATATTAATATTTATTGTGTAATATTTAATATTTAATATTAGCCTTGTTGTGTTTACTATCACTCACCACTTCCAGTTCTACTAACTACCACTGTGACTGCTCCAGCTGCTACCTTCACTACTATAACTACTTCCTCTGATAATACCCCTCCTCCTGTCCCCTCCTCCTCCCGCCCTGCAGCTGCTGAACGAGAGGCTGATGGGAGCTGAGGGAACCAAGATGGACGAGGACTTCCTGAGGATGGAGAAGGTAAAACTCTGCTGTGAGACGTGGTTCTGATCTGCTCTGAGCTGAGGGATAAACTGACGTCTGGTCTCTGTGTGTGTGTCAGAGTGTTGCAGTGATCCACACTCTGCTGCTGGAGCTTCTGTCCAGAACCACAGAGTTCCTCCAGCCAAACCCAGGTACAGCCACACACACCTGAGCTGCTGTACACACAGACTCCGACTGTGGCTTAATGTAACACACAGTCAGACTTCAGACAGACCGAGTCTAAATTCATCTGGTGCACAGAGCAGTGGCTGTGGTACAATGAATTCTGGGTAAATTAAGACTTTTTTGATAACAGATTTACAGGCTAATAGATTTACAGGCTAACAGACTAACAGGCTAACAGATTTATAGGCTAACAGATTTACAGGCTAACAGACTTACAGGCTAACAGGCTAACCGACTTACAGGCTAACAGATTTACAGGCTAACAGACTAACAGGCTAACAGATTTACAGACTTACAGGCTAACAGACTTACAGGCTAACAAGAGTCAGGCTAACAGGTAAGAGTTACAGGCTAACTAGACTATTTAACAGTTTAACATGTAACAGTCAAATCATTCAGTGCTCTTCAACTGTTATATATAGAAATGATATTAATTGCAGAAACAGCAGAGAAAAGACTGCGAACAATTAAAAGTCAGACAATCGTAATTTTATTTTTATGGAAACTGTATAAAACTAAAAACCATCAGTTCTTTGTATTGATCCTGCTGCTGGGCCTTCACTCAGCCTGAGGAGGCATATCTGGTGTTTACAGCATACAGAGACCAAACTGAGCATGCTCAAACCAATGTCCAGGATCCGAGGACAGGGAGAGTGTGCACGGGTTAAACTCCGCAGACAGAGGGCATGCTGGAGATTGTATGTGCTGTATCGGCGAGGAGCTTGGAGCGCTTCTGAAAATTTGGTAGGGAACACACAACTGATCAGGAATCAGTCACAGCGGGAGCACAGAGGCACGTAAACAGCGGGCGGCTGCTGACACATTTAAAACCTGGAGGAACCCTACAGAAGCTGCCAGCTCGAGTGTTACCTGCCGAACAGCTGACGGGAACTCCGACTCCTCGTTTGTGATAAGAGAAGTTTTACAGACTAGAGAACATCGGTCCTGGTTAGTTTCAATATCCCACATATGAGCTGTGGAACAAACTACCAACCAAATTGAGAGGGGGGACTTGAAGAACATTTAACGACGACTTGAAAAACACCCTGTTCATTTAGCTTCACAGAGCTTGCCTGTCCGGGCTGGACTCTCCGTCTGGCTTTTATCCCATTAAGAATAACCTGAAGTTCTTGGTGTTTTCTAGTCAAACATCATAAATTGACTCATGACTCGCATCAATCAAATGCTGCTCTGGGTATCTGCCAAAGCAGCACAGTTTTTAAACCTAAAATCATTTTATTTGCTGTGGCGTTAAAGGTTTCCAAGTTGTACGTGACTCAAGAACTGAGACAGCACTTATGGATTTCACAGACAGGTTCTAACGTGTTTCGTTAAAGCTGTTCTTCTTCCTGTTCAGCGTGGAGCTCTTGTCCTGGCTGTGAGGTGGATCGCTCTGCCAGCTGCAGGTCGGCCAGGGCCAGGGGGACGCTCTGGACGTCAACGTCAAACGCAACCTCATCGACCCCCTGCAAGGACCTCCACACCACGGACCGCTGAAGGAGATGGAGTCAGGGTATGAGAGGTCCGCCTACCGCCATCACTGCAGGTGACGGGGTCCAGTACAAGAGAACGCTGACCTCTGTTGGTTCATGTAAACAAACACTGCCATGTTATGACTTCTGTGGACCTGAGACTCTAGAGATTTACAGGTAATCTTGAAGAGAAAATTGTATTTTGACAAAATTGTCACGAAACCAAATTCTTGAACACAGCACGTGACGGTCACAGCGCGGACAGGGAATCATCATCTGCATCAAACAGGACAGCAGAACCTGCTCCGATCAGAGTCTGAACCAAGAATGTTTGTTCCAACATCTTCAGCAGCATGTTTGTGTTTTTTTCTGCTTCTTTTTCTTTTCAGTTTCAGCTGAAGAAGCTGGAACGGGCGTCGGCTGGACTTCGACTACAAGAGAGACGAAAAGGGAAGTCCGGTGAGGAGATGCGACAGGCCTGGGACAAGTTTCAATGACGTCTCAAAAAGAGTGGCGGAGAGGAGCATGTTCGTCCTGCTGCAGAACGATGTGGAGTTTTAACCCGACAGAATGTATTTGGTGTTGATTATAGTAATAAATAACTTTATTTATATAGTAACAAAGCTTCTTTACAAGGTTACAAAGAGCTTGAACAGAAAGAAAACAAACATCAAAACATTCATAAAAGTTTTCTGATAAAAGCAGCTTAAGAAGAGATCAGTCCTGAAGCTGTGAAGCTGTGAGGAGACTGGAAGAACATTAGACGAGTAAAGAAGTGCGGGGGCGCCCCCCTCAGGCAGACCAAAGATAAAGGCGTAAAGACACTCGTCCCTTCAGATGAATTTAAACTTTTAATTTTGAAGTTTTCCAGAAAGTGTGAGTTTTGCGAAACTAAATTTTGCAATTTTTTTTTTTTTTTTATTTTTGTGCTTGTTTTCAACCTGAGACCTGAAACTTTTTGGGATGCTTACTTCAGTCTGCAGAACAACTCACCTTTTACACGGCCGACGCCCACACCTGGGCTTTTAACAAAAAAAGAAAAAAAAAAAAAAAATTTTTAACAGAGGAGTAGACATGAATGGTGTCATTAACATGTAGTGATTTAATGAATAATGATTACGTCTCCCTCTCTGACGTGTCCTCCTGCAGTATGGACCGCTCATGTCGTCTGGCAGCTATGGGTCGCAGCGCTGCTCAGACTTCCACCGCAACGCCCACGCGCATCCTGCAGGGTCTCCATGGAACCTGCAGGCTAGGTAGGTGAGCCCAGGTTTCAGCAGCGCTCAACATCTCTTTTAGAGAGTATCGAGTTCTGCGACACAGCGAACTCATCAATTCCTGCAGGTGTTCAGTCGTAAAAATTAGATATTGGTGCCAAAGGTCCCAAAGGGTCAAGTCAGTGGTGACCTCACAAAACACTTTTTAGCACAGAAAATTATGACAAAATTTTTCACATTCTCATGGTTCATGTTTTCTCTGACTCTGGAAAAACAGGACGTGACGTGAATACTTAAGTCAGATGCCTTTTGGTCGAACCAACCTGTTTGTATAATTTACATCTCAGTCCGTAATCAAAGTCTGTCTTCTGTGCAAGCAAGCTCCTGTTTGTTGCACCTGTGTGAAAGTGAAGAAGTACACCTGTATCTGTCTGACTGTACCTGTCGACAACAGGCTGACCGCTGCTAGCAACCGGCCGGGGCGACGGTTCAGACCCAAAAGGATCCGGGTCCATGAAGCGAACAACAACGGCAGCATGCGAGTTTTTTCCACCTAGCCGTCGATATCACAATCTGCACTGGCCTTCAGGTTGTTTTAGTCGTCGCTATTGATTATTGATTTCACTGTCCATGACTTCAGTCTGGATGATGTGTTTACCTGTGTGGCTTTTTTACCTTGTGACAGAGAGCACGGTCAAACAGTGTTGCCTCCCGACCCGGCATGCCCGTTCCTGCTACGGTGGAGAACATAACATGTTCCTCGTGTCATTTTACAGTGAATCAGTCAAACAGATTATCATCATGTGTGACGAGAAAAACACCAAATCTTTCTGATCTGAGAAGCCTTGCAAACAGGAAAACATTTTGACTTTTGTGCTTTTAAAAAAAATGAACTAAAAACTACTGTGGTGATTTTCAAACTAGTTACTTGATGAATTTCCTGTTGATCGATTGATTGTTGCAGCTTTAAACTGAAACTTTTTTATTCCTCTGCGCAGCCGACAGTCAGAGCGGCAGCCATTTTGTTTTTAAGGTTGTTTTTTAGGTCACAGTGACCTCAGAAAACGACCTTTTAGCCATAACTCAAACTTCACAGCAATTAGACAAACTTTCCCACCAGTGGTTCATATTCTATGACTCTGCCTCTTCTATTCAAGTAAAACCAGATGATGATAAACAGCCTCTCCCTTCATTAAACATAATGGTTCCCTCTCTCTCTCTTTCTCTCTGGCCCAGCGACAGTAAGCTGGTCTGGATCAAGCCCTGTTGCCGGGCGATGTACTCCTTCCACTCGAAACCACGAGGGGAGCTGGGCTTCAAGCGAGGGCGACCTCATCGTCTCTACTGTCAGGTCGACGCTAACTGGTACGGGGCTCGCTGGGCGGCCGGTCGGGACTCTTCCCCTGTCCAGCTACGGTGGATGTGCCTGGTGCCTCTGCCGTTCGGGTGAACGACTCACTTCAACCGCCCATCTGCTCTATTAGAACGCTGACAGATAATATGCAACTCCTCAGTCTTTATTTGGCACTTTTTCAACGAGCGAATCAGTTTGTTCTGAAGGAAAGGAACGGCCAAGTTTTCTACTGTAGAGCACTTTACAGTTTCCAAGGGCCGGTTTGCACAAAACACTTAGATTTCCACTTAGGTTAATTACTTAAGGGTGTTGCACAGAATCTCTTAAAAGGTTTCCTTAGTTAATGGATAAAACGTTAAGGCATTTGCAGCAGTGAAAGAGAATTATACAGCAGTAAAATTCCTACTGTTTCCAATGGAGCCGTTGATTGCTGTGAGAACTTGTTGTTTGAGGGGAAACTTCACCACGGTGTTCAGCAAGACGGTACACACTGATCTGTGGCATGAAACCCTCGACTACATCTGACAGGAAAACGTCATGTGACATAAAACTATTCGAACAATCATTGAAACTAACGGGAAGTGGAAGGATCCACTCTAGACGGTCGGACAATAAAGTCAGAGGAACTTACTTTTTCCTTAGTTTTTGGTCACTAAGGGCTTTTGTGCAACGGTTTCAGGTGACTTTAAGTATAAGAATAAAAGATAAGGAGAAAAACCTTAAATACTCAAGGCGAAACTTAAGGGTGTTTTGTGGGGCGACTGTTTATTTTAAGAAAAACTTCACTTGGACTTCAAGAAAATCTTAACTGAAGTGTTTTGTGCAGCTGCTCCTGATCTCATGTCACGAGGCGTGAACACACCAGCGCCACCAAAAGAGAGGGCTCAGTCCGTAAAGACACATTTCTACACCTCAAGCGTGTTTCCCTTTAGAACTTTTAGCTAAAACCAAAAAAAAAAAAAAATTTTTTTCCTGCAACAACAGCTAACAGCTGTTGCCTCTCGCACACTAGAAAACAAGCACATCAGCCTGATGCTATCTGCATTTTTAGAGCGTATAGACAAAACGAATGAAACTATCTTGGGTAAAGTTTACTGTAATGTTTAGATTCATGATGCGTGTAGATAAAAATACTGTTAAATAGGTTTTTAATTTACATGCCTAATTCTAACAGTGGTTGTTGGGTGGTGGTGGTGTGCAATTGTGCATGTAGTTTTAGGCCGAGAGTTGTTGTAACTTGTCGGCACCTTTATCTGAAGCTTTCTGAGCTCAGGTCAGGAAAATGTTCACTCTGTCAAACGTGTGATTTTCTAGGAGACGGTGTCGCGCTCAGACATGAGAGTGAATGTCTGACTCGCAGGAAGGAGATTTGAAGACAAATTTCCCAAATGTCCAACTGGTCCTTTAAAGCACGAGTGAT